GACTCCATGAACAGTCTGAACAGTGTTCCCCCTTCACACATACTTCTCAAAGGGCTCTCTCCTAAACTAGGCCATATGGCCTTGATTTGACTCTCCATAAAATCAGTGGAGAGACTTCTATTGCTGTCATTGGGAGTTGGATCAGTCACGATACTTGTGGAGTTAAGAATTTCAGGTGTAATCCATCCTCAATACCTTCAAGGATCAAGCACTTTATGATGCAGTGATGTGCTATCAGGGCCTGATCCAACTCCACTGAAGTCAATAGAAGTTTTACCATTGACTTCAATGGAAGCACGACTGGGGCCATTGTTAGAATTTTTAATGTTATCTTTGAATAGGTGAATACATTTAAAACTACAGCACAGGGGCTGCATTTCTTACCTAGGCAAGACTCCCTATCGACTTCAGGCCCTTTATTTCTGAACACAAGTTACAATACAGCAAATAAAATTGTCAAACTATCCCTCCTCCACAAAAGAGAAAACACACAATTTAATTTAGCTTAAGTGTGTTTTCATATATCATTTTGAAAAGCAATTGTTGGGTCTCATATTAAAAGTTTAAGGCTTTTTCCCCCTTTGTGAATCTGTACTGCTACAAGCACAGGGTTTAAAGAATCATTAATCCATATTCCATTAGTGTGATGTAGCAGACTCCTTACTTTTTGAAAATGTGTTCAATTTAAGAGACAACTAGCATGTCAAGAAAAAAAGGAACACATTTGAAATGTTAATGATGTATAACAAAGCAAGTATTTGGGGGCATATATTAGCACTTTCATCATAATTAGTTTGTAACCTAATACATATTTCAGGGATAAATTGCTGACCCTTTCTGACCTCCACAGGAGGCTGAATAGCTACTTCAGAGTTTAATCTGCAGTGAAAAGGCTAGAGAAGAATAATTTAGCCCTTGAAATAAGAACGAACATCTTTTAATGATGCCCCTGGATTCAGAATTTAACCCTTGCACTTAAAAGCGAGTATTAGTCTCAAAAGGGCTGGCAATAACTTAGCTCACAAATAAGAACGAGATAACAAACTGCATAAATACAGAGCAGCCCGGAGAAAAATGGATTGTTCATTTTAAAGGCAAAGCAGAGAAAGGTGCTGGCTGGTAAAACAACTGAGTCTTGGACTCTATAACAAAATGGCTTTCCACAGCTAAAAATGTCATAACACGTAATGGTAACAATGCTTGAGAGACCACAGTTGAATTGCTGGAGCTGCAGGTAGGTCAGAGATTGCAAGTGCAATAATAGCAAATTTCTAGGTCTCCAAATGCCAGACAAAAGGGTTAAATTCAGGGTAAATGACCCTGGTAAAAGGAAAAAATCCAGAGAGAGGAATTGAGGGCAAATGGACCTTACCGAGACACTTCAAGCTGCTAGAATGGATTCTTGCTAGGAAATATTTTTAGATTATTCCATAAAAAACCTACAGAGGGCAATTCAAAAATGATAATGTCAGAAAAAAGTATAAGGGAAAGAGGTTACGTGCTCTGAATTAGCTAGGACTTCCAGTTCCTGCAACAAGTGCCTCTTATTGTTGATTTCATTGTATTAAATTGCACTGGTACATCCTCATATCTTGGAATGTCAGTGTTAAAAAACATGCATTATTAAAACAGATTCACACTTCTCAGAGGCAGAGCTTGTGTAATAAAATTAAAACTACAGTGGGTATTTCAGAATTCAGCCAGTTCTGGTTGCAATCTCTTTGATCATATAACTCGGAATGACTTACTGTTTTGCTGAAGAGCGGAGTCAGACTTAACAAATGCTTGTTATTCTCCCCATCACCAATCCAAGTGTTCCTAACATGATTAAAATCTAATTGATCTAAATTTGAGCAATTTATTTATCCAAACACTCATCCATCACCATCTTAAGTGCTAAGAAACAAAATTCGCTTCTTAAAGCAACCTTCTTAATTAAGAATCAGTCAAGCCTATCTTATGCTTGGTCATCTATCAAAACTCCAAGTACAGTCCAGATTTATTATTGTCAAGAAAGATCAACCAATTAATTATAAATGTAATAGACATTAAGGTTCCATGTTTGAAAATAAATATGAAATGTTATGATTGGTTGTTTTTTTTAAACACAGCATTGTTTTTATGATTACCAGCTAATGGTCAATTGATTCAAAATGGGTTACTGAATAAAGTGGCATAATCTGCTCCCATTCAAGTAGTCAGTGGGAGTCTGACAATTGATTCTGATGGGAGCAGGACCTTGCCTTATATCACTGATCCCTTAACTTAGTACACCTGCTCTCACCCTCTAGGTAGCTAGATGTTGAGATCATTATTGACTTTCATAAATGATATGATTACAGCACAAGCTGTTTTCAAGTGCTTAGCTATGAATAATGACATTGCAAAGGCTTAGCCTGATGGATATTCGAAGTCCTTGATTTGTAAGATTTGGGATGCTGTGAAGCATGTGATATGCAGAGAAGCAGGCCCAAAACAATATTTATGAAACAATCCCCCTGACATTCTGAAATCTAACGTTATTAGATGAGTTTTGAGGAAGCAGTTCATTAGCGCTCTACAGTGAAAGAGCATCTTCAGTCATGGAAAAACACAAGCAGATCATAAGAAAAACTGATAATATGTTGCCAAGTATCAGGGGGTAGCCGTGTTAGTCTGTATCTACAAAAACAACAAAGAGTCTGGTGGCACCCTAAAGACTAACAGATTTATTTGAGCATAAGCTTTTGTGGGTAAAAACCTCACTTCTTCGGATGCGAGGTTTTTACCC